TTGTTTGGCTTTTTTTTCCGTCTAATTTTGTGTTGCTAAAAAAATGTTGAAAGTTACTCCAAATTATGCATTGTCTGTTGATAGGCAACAAGAACTCGTGGCGCTATCTAAAATGTTGAAACAAAATGGGATAGTTAAAAAAAAAGGAATTTATGGGAATGATAATATATATATATATATATATATATATATATATATATATATATATATATATATATATATATATATATATATATATATGGGATGAGGGATAATTACATTATATTTTTGGTCCCCCAAGTTTATATATATATATATACCCATTTACCGCAGTCAACAAAATACACTCTCGTTTTATCAAAATTTAACACATTTGGTCCTGCCGTTGGTTGACCGTCTGACTTAACAGTCAACCGTCATGTGCCACGCACGTGACTTCAAATTAGGGCTTAAGTTGTATTTTTTCCCCCAAAATCAATCTTTTCTCTCTCTCTCTCTCTCTCTCTCTCTCTCTCTCTCTCTCTCTCTCTCTCTCTCTCTCCACGCTCTCTCTCTCTCTCAAATTGGGGATTTTACCAAGAACCCTAATTTTTGGAAGAAATTCCAATTTCAACAATCCAAACACCAAATCACGAAATTCTCTCTCCCCCTCTTGAAAATATGAGTAGTCGATCGACCGCATCAAATCGAAAACAACAAACTGGCAGTGATTCTGGGGATTGGAGTGCAAGACCATTTCCAATCGAAGCTCATACATGAAAATGTGGAATTGAGCTTCCAATAAACACTTCGTGGACTGATAAAAACCCTGGGCGGCGATTTCTTGCATGTGCGAATTACATGGTGAGTAAATATCTGAAATTAAGGGGTGCCATTTGTTCTAGTTATGAATTTCAATTTTTTTTTTGTCACATAAACTATCACATTGCAATTATTTTGAGTGGGTTGATCCAGAAATGTGTGGAAGGTCAAAACAAATTATTCCCGGACTGTTGAAGAAATTGAACAAATTGGAAGATGACATGAAAGAAGAGAAGGAAAACCAAGGGAAGATGTTGATTCAACTTCAATTATACAAGAAGAAAGTAATGAAGTTGATGGTTGTGATTCTTGCTTTGCTTTTGTTTATAGCAATGCATATGATTTTGAAGCTCTAATGATGTAATGTTGTCTGATGTTGAAGCTCAATTGATGTAATGTTCTCCTTATATAGACTTTTGTAATGCATATTTTGGCATATTTTGAATGTAATGAATGGTTTAGACTATTGATGTTTTGAATGCAAATGTGTGATGGTATGTGTGCTACTGTGTGATGGTGACCAACAAATGAGCACAATATATATAAAAACTAAAATAACAAGCATGGAGGATTCCAAATCCCAGAAAAATTCCAATTGAAAAACATTGCAACTGAACAAATCCAGAATTCCAAATAACAACATTCTAAATGAACATAACAACAGCAAACAAACAAAACAAACCAAAGTAAAGTATAGTAACATCATTCCAATGGATGACAAAACAACAAAATAAAGTACATGTCCATAAAGTACTCCAAAAGTCATTGCAACAACAATTCAAACATAGGAAAAACATCAAGTTATGTGGTCTTCTTTGATCCATTCTTTGACTGTGTTGGCTTTTTGGCTGGCCTTGGTGCAGTGAATGGATTTGCAGAACTTGTAGAGCCTTGGATACCAAAAGCAGATCTGAGGTTGGACATTGTGATGAAATTAACTCCTCCATTGACAATGACAGGAGTACTTACACTTGAACCTTCATTGATCTGCATCTACATCAACAAAAAGAAAAAAGGTTCAGTAAACAAACCAGTAAGTACATTAAACAATCAAAAGGTTCGGTAAACACATACATTGATTGTAGAGGTAGTGTTTGAAGTTCCTGTCATATTCACTTGCCTTTTTGTTGGCCTTCTTACCTACAACAGTGATATAATAATAATAATAATAAACTAACATAAGAATAAACATTGAAAAGAGCAAGAACATTGAATAAAAAATGAATAAAGTTACCTGCATCTTCCTCTGTGGAACTTGTGTTTCTCCTCTTTGAGAAACATTCATTGCAGCAGTGCTTTGTTGTGTAACAGGTTCTTGCCTAGATTCTTGCCCACCTTGATCAGGTTCTTCCCTAGATTCTTGCACATCTTGATCAACTTCATTTGTTTCTTCCACAGTCTTTCTTTTTCCTCCACATTTTCTAGCATTATGCCCTGCTTGCCCACACTTTCTGCACTTATTAATTCTTGGAACCCTCTTTAACTTTGTTCCCCCAACAGAAGGTGGCTCATCTGGCTCTCTTCTTCTCAGTTTTTGTGGTCTACCAGCTTTTTCTGTATACATTGGTGGTAATGGAGGCTGCAAAGTGCATTGAGGCCAAAATTCTGGTCCATTTATTGGTGAAATGGAGTTTTCATATGCTCTTTTATATGAGTCAACACTGTAACAGTGATGAACATATTGCTCAGGGTCTTCATGCCTACACCAAATGGCAGAAATGGCATGTTTGCAAGGGATACCTGTCAAATCCCATCTTCTGCAGCTGCAACTCTTTGCTCTTATGTCAACAGTATGCTGATCATACATCCCCACTATCTGAAAATTCCACTCATCTGATTTCATTGGGATGCACTCACCAGCCTCTTTCATATTCTTTATCAAGACAGTTCTGATCTTGGGACAAATGTTTGTATCCCATTTTAGAGTTTTTTCCCTATTCAACACCATTCTAGCCATCAACAGATTTCTTATACACTCAAGCATTGGTATTATTGGTTTCTCTATACATCAAGGATGAAAGAATTAAAGCACTCACACATATTGTTCAACAAGATATCACATTTAGGAAATGGATTGAAATGAGACCTGGTCCAATTCTGAGGAGGCTTCTTCACTAACCAATTGTATGCAGCTTCATCTATAGCCCTCAGTTCTTCCATTCTCCTCTTGAACTCTTCAATTCTAGTGGCTTTTGCAGCTGCCCACAGTGCACTCTTAATTGCCATACCCCCAAAGCCATCCTTCTTCATATTACTGTGTAAGTGCCTTACACATAATCTGTTTTCTGCACCTGGGAATAGAGTTTCAAAAGCAGGGATAAGTCCCTTTTGTTTGTCAGACATAAATGTCCACTTGTGTTGTTCCTCAAAGCCAATGTCTAAATCTAACAACTGAAGGAACCACATCCAGGTTTCCTTAGTTTCACCCTCAACAATAGCATAACAAATTGGGTATATGTTATTGTTTGGATCCAACCCAACTGCAGCCAATAATTGTCCACCCCTCTGCCCTTTCAAAAAACACCCATCCACTCCTATGACAGGTCTACAAGCATTCTTGAACCCCTCTTTGCAAGCTGAAAAGCAAATGTACAATCTTTGAAACCTCAAACCTTCTGTGTCCTCTGTCAATTTTAAAACAACAGTGGCATTTGTGTCTGTTCTTTTGAGTTCTTCACAGTAAGATCTGATTTTTTGAAACTGTTCTTCTTCTGAACCTTGAATAGCCTTTAGTGCCTTTTGCTTTGCCCTATAGGCTTGAGATTTGGAGACACTTGCTTTCAAAGTTGTGCACACTTCATTTCTGAACTCAGTTGTGCCTAACTTAGGATTTTCTTTGAATTTTTTCATGAAAGTTTTACCAATCCAGCTGGACTTGAGGCTGCTGTTGTTGTAGTTCCAATAACAGTTGTTATGGTCAGACACATAAGTTTGATTTGCCAAGTCTTGTCATTTTGCATTGGAGAAACATGTATTGACCATTTGCAACCATCATTCTTACAGCAGGCCCTCAATCTTCTACTGTCATTCTTGTAAAACTTGATCATCATCCCCCTCCTAAGGAAGTGGCTCTCTATAGCAAATTTTGCTTCTTTTTTTGAAGAAAAAACCAACCCAAGCTTTAACTCAGGGTTTTTATTGTCAGTTTTAGGATTAAACTTGGGGAATTTAACCCTATTTCATCATCAGAGCCACAGTCACTGCCCATTGAGTCACTGTTAACACAGTCATCATCACCTTCTTCATTAAGCATCCTAGTATACATATCATCTGAGACAAATTCAGAGACCTTATCTTTACCCTTTGATTTAACCCCACCAAACTCAGCATCTGGATCTACATAGGCTTCAAACAACTTGTCATCTTCTTCAAAGTCATAATCACTATCATAAAACTCATCACCATCTTCCTCACTGTCACTCTCATTGCTTCAACATTGGGTAATTCAGGTAAAACAATGTCAGTTTGCTCATCAGTAATGACTGATGATGCAACTTGACTTTACAAGGTAGGTACCACATTCACGGTTTCTTCTAACCCCAAATGTTCTAAGTATATTTCAACTTCATAGTTAATAGGTTTCATAGAAGCAACATCGGTATCAGTTTCCAAGTACCTACCCATATTCAGATTTGCCCCAAATTTGTACCAAAATTTAATTTTTTTCCTATCAGAATACCCCAACTCCCGTGACATTATCCACATATCAAGCATCCTCATCTCAGCAGGTTTTGAAAAATCAAAAAATTCCTCACTCCCACCTATGTACCTCGTTTCTGGACCATGTTTCAGTACCCCCCCCATAATACATTTTAACAGTACACCAAGTACTTATCCCAATTCTCTCTGAAAATAATTTTTTGCCACAAGAAAGGAAAAAAAATAAAAAAAAAAATATCAGCCACATTGTAAATGACAAGAACAGTACTTTAGGGTTCAGGTTGAGTTATGCTTACCGTAATTTGGGGCAAATCCACCAGAGAATTTGCTTCTTCGCGACATGGCCTTCGAAAAATTCCTCTTTTCTTGTTGATTCTTCTTCGACCCAGAAATTAAGCGGCAGAGAGAGAGAGATGTTAATGTTGATTTTGGGGATTTTGAGATTGAGAGAGAGAGAGAGAGAGCGTGGAGAGAGAGAGAGAGAGAGAGAGAGAGAGAGAGAGAGAGAGAGAGAGAGAGAGAGAGAGAGAGAGAGAGAGAGAGAGAGAGAGAAAAGATTGATTTTGGGGGAAAAAATACAACTTAAGCCCTAATTTGAAGTCACGTGCGTGGCACATGATGGTTGACTGTTAAGTCAGACGGTCAACCAAACGGCAGGACCAAATGTGTTAAATTTTGATAAAACGAGAGTGTATTTTGTTGACTGCGGTAAATGGGGGACCAAAACGGAAAAGCGGGCAAACTTGGGGGACCAAAAATGTAATTATCCCTATGGGATGAGGTAGCAAATGGCAATAATTGGTTACCAAGAAAACAAATGCATGCTACCTAATTTGTGGAAGTAGCCACCAATTGTGAATCAATATATATGATGGTCAAGTTGTTCATCTTTTATCAGTTGTACAATCTGCATGCAATAATGTGTTGGAATTTTAATGTGAATAAAATAATTCGGGTGTTTCACATAGATGCATGTTTAGAATGCTTCCTAAGCAACACTATTTGTGAATTATGTTGCATCGAGAAAGATGTTCGTATGAATTTCCATTACATTTCTGGATCGGATGGGTCAATGTGACCTCATCAATGTACATATAAATACTATGATAGAGATTTATAACTCGTTTTCGATTGGTTCAAGTCGTTTCCTAAATTTGTTTTTTTCCTATTATTATAAAAATGGGTGAGCAAGTCGGACGCATCAACCTATTGAACTCGTTAAATTCGGTAAAAAAATGTCACGGAAGATCCATCAAAAGGATCTTGGGTCCTGAAATTGAAATAAACCTCAAGTTTGGGTTTAATGGGTACATTTTATTTTTTTTTATCTTTTTTTGTACTCTTGAAACCCATTCCATCACACCATACAAAATGACGTCGTTTTATTTATACAATGTAATATAATAAAGGGGTCTTTATAAATAAGTCCATCAATGGATACTTATTCATAATTAAGAGATCCAAACAATAAACTCATTTACAAAAAAAAAGTCCACACATGGTCCAAAGGTTTGTAAAAAACTGTAATAGCCCCTCATACTTTAATATGCTTCAATTTCATTCTTTAATTTAATTTAATCTCAATTTGACCCCAAATTTGATATATTATTCAATTTTGACTATAACCACATTTTTATGGACAATTACGTCCGTCAGCGCCGTTGACCACCGGTTTTCAGTGTTGACTTTTTTTTTCTTCCTGATTTTTCCGCGACTGGTTTCCGGCGTTGAATTTTTCGAATTTTTTTTCTTTTTGCAACATCTTTTTTTTTTCGTTTAAACAACAATATTGTTGTGATTATTGACAGTAATATTAACTATATTACTGTTACACACATTAAAATTAACTACGTACAGTTTAACACATTAATATTGCTATATTAATCTCTAGTACAGTAATATTAACACAACAAAACTCATTATTATTGTGTAATAGAGTAATATTAACATGTTGACCGTTCAACAAATGTAAACATAATAAAAAGGCAAAAGAATTAATATTACTGTGAGTGACAATAATATTACTATAACAACAGTAAAACCGTCAACCACGGTAATATTACAATAATAGACAGTAATATTATTACGTTACTCCGTGAATAACTCAAACAAAACAAAATAATAATATTGATGTGGTTGACAGTAATATTACCGTCAACCACAGTAATATTATTGTGTTTACATTAATATTACAATAATAGACTGTAATATTATTACGTTACTCCGTGAATAACTCAAACAAAACAAAAAAAACCCAAAAAAAAAATAATAATACTGATGTGCTTTACAGTAATATTATTGTGTTTACAGTTGTTTTACTGTCAGCGACAGTAATATAATTACGTTGACTTGTCAACAAATCAAACAAAATAAAAAAAAAATAACAAAAAAAATAATAATAATAATAATACGTTAATTTACTGTCAACGACAGTACAATTACATAAATGTATTGTCAAGGGCAGTACAATTACGTTAATGTACTGTCACTGACAGTATAATTACGTTAATTTACTGTCATTGACAGTATAATTACCGTTAATGACAGCACAATTATAGTAAACGTTTTGCGACAGACGTAAAAAAAAAACACTAAAAAAGTTCTACGCGGAATCTGGCGGCGGAAAAAAACAGACAAAAAAAAATCGAAAAGTCAACGCCGGAATCAGTTGGTGTAAAATTTTTGTTTTGAAAAAAAAGAATCAAAATTGGATTTTTGTGGTCAAAATTGATTAAATTGAGGTTACAATTAAGAATTGAGTATAAATGGTTGGGGGTAATTTTATCATATACATAAACTTTTCCTTTATTTATAATAAATATTAAAGGGATGGACTTATTGGTGAAAGAGATATAGCCCCTAAACCTAGAATAATAAATATGTTTGGTTAGTATTAATTTTAATTTACTTTTAACATTTATCATTAATGTTATTCCCTTTGGTTTCAGTTTAACAGTTTATGCTTGATCATTCATTTTAATTTCTAAACAATTACGTTTCGCGTAAAATTTATAAATAAAAAACATTTTTAATTTATAACGAGTTTCAACCCATTAAGGTTAGTTAGGTTCTACTATAAACCCGGTATAGACCCGTCGATCCTAAATCCACAAGTTTGATTCCTTTAAAATAGAACCATCATTTATTACCCTAAAATATTTGACCCAGAGCCCCATTTTCAATTTAAATTTGAAAATGGGGCTTTAAGGTCAAATATTTTAGGGTAAATTACAATCATCCCTCTTGTCTGGATAATTACATCTACATTTCTCAACGATGAATCTTCTTACACCTCCACCCTTATGGTGTCAAATTCAACATAATCATCTAGATTCCGTGGAATATGCTCTACATTGTCCTCGTTTTGTTTAAAAATACAGTTTCTGATGTACCACAATTTTGATATATACAAGCCAAAAAATACATCTTATGATCATCTTGCTGCAAAATGTGGAGCTCGAATGGGATAAATCGGGTACAAAAGTAATAATATTCCATATAATCAAGAATATTCCATTAAATTTGAAACCGCAAGGTTGGACATGTAAAAAAATTTATAGTTGAGGGGAGCTGTTGTAATTCCCCAAACAAGAGGAGGGTTTTCGTAATTTTACCATACCTCAAGGGGTGGTTGTAATTTACCCAATATTTTAAAATGGAAACGCGGTCAAATACAAGCTTATATCTTTATATATAAAAGAAATGTTTGTCCCGAAACCCTAAAAGCAGTTTTTTTTTTAAATATTTTTGTGAAATATTTATTTCCTTTATTTTATCCTTTTTATAGCACATTCAAAATTATTTGTTTTTTTCTTCCTTTTCTATAGAACACGTTTCGTTTTTTTTTTTAATTATTTTCTTTTTCTTTTTTTCTTCTTCATTTTTTCCCTTCACCACTAAATACGGTCAATTTTTTTTCAAATTTTTTATTCTTAAATATTTTGTTTTTCTTTTTTTCTTCTTTTTTATCTCTTCCGGCACTAAATTTTCTCTCTCTTTTTATAGGACACGATGTTTTAATTATTTTGTTTTTCTTTTTTTCTTCTTTTTTCCCCTTCCCCAATAAACACGATCAACTTTGATTTTTTTTTTCACGTTTGTTTTTTCTTTTGAATTATTTTCTTTTTTTTTTCTTTTTTTTTTCCCTTCCAGCACTAACTTTTCTCTCCTTTTTTATAGCACACGTACGT